TTGCAAGTGCTCATCGAATTATTGAATCTGGCAACATTTAGAAATGAAACCCATATTTACCAGCCTGGTGAATGGATAATTTATTCAAACTGCAAATCTGTAAATCGAAAATTTTCACAATACAAGTGCCAGCAAAACACAAACCTTGTTTATCATACTGTTGTCGACATGGTCTTGACGACCGATATTCTGGAGTCGGTAATTTCCTAAATGTAAAAGTGACACTGTATTCATCATCTTCGTCTTCCACTGCAGCTCCTATGATCTAATGAGATATGTACAATCAGCTTTCTAGCTTTATTTATTACAATTACTATCATGGTTATGATCAATGACTATTTATATAGTTTTTGTTTGTGTTTACATATTATTATTTGTTAAATACATTAACTTCAGTACACATCATCAACAAATATTACATACATATCTAATCACTTATCATGCTATATATACTTACTCTTGTTAACCTGGGCTCAGACACAGTAGCTCTAAATTCTGCATTCTGTGTAGTAAACTCCTTGATGTGTTCTGTTATGTGTGTTAACTGTTTTTGCCAAAATCCTGAAAAATAAATTGAAAAAACAGTAAGAATTTAAATTGACTTTTGCCTATGCTTGCATAGATTAAGGTTGGTTTGGATTCAGAACAATCTGACAAATAAACCGGTGTCAGCATAATCCAATGTACTCCCTAATGGTTGGATAAAGTAAGAATGCACATCTGAAAGTAAACCAGCCTTTAATATGAAATCCAGAAAAAAATATATGCTTATTTGATAAAAGAAATAACACAGTAATTGAGAGTATAAACAGAGTAGTGTGATGGGTCATAACTTGGATACAACAGAGATTTAATATTGCAAATACACCTACCAAGAACCAATAAGAAATTGTTCATGGATAACAACAGGGCTTATACCTATGGACCAGGTCGGTAGCAATATTACTCACAATTTAGTCTGACACCATCAACAAATTAGACAATAGATTAAATACTTTAATACAACATTTTACACTATTTTTACCTTGGTACAATTTGTTTTTATTAATTTGTTTGTTAATCCCAAATAAATAAATAAATAAAGTTTTTGTTTTATGGAAAAATCCTGACAGTAATTGACAAGACCATTTTGTGAAAGTTTACAAAGATGGCAAGAGGTCAAAGTTCAAATTTGACAATAGGGGTCACGGGTTAAATGTTATGTTATGTTATGTTATGTTATGTTATGTTATGTTATGTTATGTTATGTTATGTTATGTTATGTTATGTTATGTTATGTTATGTTATGTTATGTTATGTTATGTTATGTTATGTTATGTTATGTTATGTTATGTTATGTTATGTTATGGTATGGTATGGTATGGTATGGTATGGTATGGTAAAGTTGATGGTATGGTTGAAAGGCTTGCGGGTCAACACTGACAATGCTGGTGCTAAGAGTCTAGTAATGTACATTTTTTACTCAACAAAGACATGAATTCACATTTGTAAGTCACAATTAAGACTTGTCATTTATACCTTTGCCAATGCTTGCGTCTGTGAGTACTGGTTTCTGTTCTTCTTTTAGTCTCTTTAATTCTTGTCTCACCCGTGCTAAATCTTCTATTTCAGATCTCATACGATAGAGTTGTTCTGGTGTGGGAAATACTAATCCGGATGTCTGTGTAGCAATGGATTGTTTGTCCAGCGTACGCAGTGGGAGTGACAACGAATGCTCCCAGCTCACATTACCAGATGGTACTACCTGTAATGAGACATCAACAGCAATAGCCTTAATATACACAGATACATGCATCAGTAAGCTGCATCTCAATTACGCTAAGTAATTACTTGCAATTGAAAATATCTAAAACTTATGATCTAACTAATTAGAGTGGATTATAATCATGTACAAGTACCTTTACTAGGGGGGAGGGGGATTTACCTGGACCTGAATATATATGAATATTGATATTATTAACATTTATGGATAAAAAAATAGTAAAATTAAAGCACAAAAAACAAAACTAAACAAGATAATGTAAACAAAGTATGTGTTGCGCAATAAGTCATTGTCATTATTTCAGATTTAGAATTTAAATTGTTTTGAATTTGTTCGTAATGTTGAATTGTAATTAATTTTAAGTTTTTTCAGCTATTGACATTTTTGTTTGTTTGTGTTGGTATAGGGTACAAGCCATTACATTGAAACAGGTCAAAAGTTCCCCTTATATACAGAGCATTAACACAGACAGACAAAGTACTGCCTGTAACATATGGAGTAACAGTTGTGTGGCATTCAACGTGTTATGCAATATTTTTTAATTTTATGTTTTTACTTCAAAAGATAATCACCGCTGGAGCTCTACAAACACACAGGATGTTACCCAAGTATTGTAACTATGACAACACAAAATAATGATCACTGATGCATAGCAAGATGGTCTAATTGCCTAGCAACAGCCAAAACATATGCAAGTGACTTTGAGCAATATAAATATTGTGAAGATAAATAAAAAAAAAACGGTCTCAGTAAAAGACAAAGCAATTGTGTAAATGTGCAATGAGGCACAGACACTAGAGATAGCCACTGACTTTTAGATCATACAAGGTTACAAGAAACTGATTTTTTAGCTAATTATTATGATCATGCTATCAGACCACATTACTAGACAGTACTCACACTGTTATAATTCCTACTCTATTGGTTTAATATTAACCTGATATCCCATGGGGATACCTAATGTATGTTCCTAGTATGAAAGTAGTGATGTAGCTATGTGTATCTAAACACAATAGGTATTTCCTGTCAAGTCGACAATCACCACACATTAGTGTAAGGTACACTGGATGTTATTATAATACTTCATTGCCTTAAGACACTTATTTTAGATATTGTTTCCCCATGTTTTAATAACACAATGTCAGAAAAGCTTAAAGGTCATTTTGTTTACAGCAGACATAGAATTACATTTGTGAGTGACATTTTGAAAGGTCAGAGATGAGCTAACCTGTGTATTCTGTGTTTTAATTGGTCGGCCGTTCACCCAATACTGAGGCTCTGCTATTGAGGATCGCATTGGATAATCGCCAGCCATCACAACTTGTTTACTGTGAATAAAGCAATTCAAAAAACAATAACTAAAAATAAATCAAAAAGAATGAAAACATTAAATATAACAGTGCACCCAATATAAATTATGTCTTAAATAACATGCTAATGTTTATATTAGTTATGGGTGTGACAAAATTATTATTTTAAGAGCCTTTAAATCATTGTCATGAAGCAGTATACTAAAAACGTTTCTGTACAAATATTGTCATTATAAAAAGGATATTTGATACAATTTAATAAACACATCAAGAATTTCCTGATTTTTATTTTTTTCAAATTAGAGATATTAGTTGAAATAAAGAAATAGTGGTCATACACCTATTATAATTTCTGTGTTTATTCAGTTAATGCATGGCCATTCCAAATATCAAAATGCTTGTCATTTGTTGGAAATTTAACAAGTCATAGTAATGACATAGTTCTTGTTGGATTTAGGGGAAATGTTATTCATGCCAAAAATCAAGTAATATCACAGAGGTACTGTGGTAATATGGACCAAAATACATAGTTAGTAATTGAGAATGAATCTAAGCCTTGGAGATATATTAGTGTGGACAAAAAGCATGAAGACCGAATTATAAGTATAATAATATAAGAGGGTTTATGAAGTGAAAGATGTTCTAAAAATAAAAATAATTAATCACCACCTGCTTTGTAATGGTATTCACATTTAATAGTATTTGCTATGCCAATTAATGAAAGTATTCCCATGTAAAAAGCTTATACATCCAATTTGAGATCCTCAAATTTGTGGTATAAAAATTGTAATGATCATACTCATATATATTTAAAACAGTTTCCTGAAAAAATCGAAGATTTTCTATCATTTTACACATAGATTCATAGAAGTAACACTTCCAAAATGTGAACCAAAAGCAAATCGCAAAATATGATATTTCAATTCTGTCAAGGATATAAAATATACAAAACTGATATTATGCACATACTCTCACAAGCCTGTTTTGACCCAGCAAGAGTATGCTCACATAACAAAAGTTAAATTGTACTGAACATTCTTAATCCATCACAAGTCCGTAAAAAAACATTTTAGTGAAATGAACTATTCATTAAAAGTTTTCATCATCTCAGCACGCAAATCTGAGTATTGATATCCACATCTATTCAGAATAAAACTAATATTAAGCTGTTTGTATACAACATCAATAAATTAAAATTAATCAGTATTATTGCTATGGCAACATAAATCACAAATCAATCACTGTATGAATACATAATAAAAGATTATAATTTGAATTTCTCTGTATATATAGACACATATCTCAGCACATTCACAGAAGATTACTCAGTCCCAAACGTCTATATTATCTTTATCCACAGTCATTGTTATTATAATCTGTGATCATAGAAATGAATTATAAATGAAGTATCTATAATTCATATTTGTGATTGTACTTCTGAGTTTCAATATTTATAGTGTACTTACTATATGTACAATACTTTAGGCTGTGTACAAAAAACGGTAACTATGATGGGGATAGTGTTCAATAGTTATTCAAATTTTTATTTTCAAATTATATTATTTTTTTAATTATGCAAATTTAGAAGAAATATACTAATTCAAAATATACATATTAGTACAGAGTTTCCAAACTGTATGGATTATACAAATATTACTCATACTATTGAACATAGATTACAAAGTGAACTTTACAGATTCAGTAGACATCAATACTTAAATATGACTATTGTAAAGACACTCAGAAATCAAATACTGAATACTTACTTCATGAAGTCATACTCCCTTGGTGGGTGTATAGACTGGTATGGCTGCGTACTTGATGTCTGGTGGACCGGGTATGAGTTAGACTAAGAGAAGAAAATGAAATTCAAGTAATATTACTAATGAAGCCAAGATTCAATCGAAAACAGCAGGTAACGGCAACTATTCACGTTTATAACAGCATGAGATGTGCAAAGCGTAATCACTCACAACAATAATCACCTGTTGATGAATAACATGATTAAATACAACAAAAAAAGAAGAGAGAATCAGCCGGAGATCAGAGATCAGGAGATTGTGATAGATAAAGTTATTACGTGATGAAATGAAGCAGCATCATTATCGCTCATACGGAAAATACAATCTAGGGATAACTAGAAATATGACACAGAAATCGTCATGGTGACAAGACAGTAACAATGTAAAACTAATCTAACAAAATAAAAAAATTAAAATGAAAGTGGAGGGAAATACACATACATTCATAAAATGGATTAAAACTAACATTGTTTATATATACACACATGGTTTCACTCCAATAATAACTATTTTGTATTATTTGTGAACGCATAGTAGATATATCATTAGGGCTCTATTCAAGAAGGCCACAAAAGCACTTGCCTGGACACCCTATCGGACTGCCATGCTGTACTGAAATTTTCACTACACAGTTTCAAGGCCAAATAAACAAATTGTGGTTCCTATATCACGGTTTTTCTGAATAGGTAGATAAAAGATTTTTTTATTTTTCTTGTCACAACTGTGATTTGATCTGTTTTTTTTCTATAAAATCTCAGTCAAGGCCTGCTACAGTTTTGTGATGTTTTCTCAAATATGGTCAAAATAGTGTAGGGACAGGCAAAAGAAAAAATTTGTACTTTCATAATTCTGAATTTCAAACATGTACATGTACCATATTAGCTCTATTAGGAGCGCATCTACAATAGATGTGTACTTAAATAATCTTGTTTTCACTTTCCCTTCTCACATTGTTTTTCATCAAATTTTTAATAGAGCATTAAAGTTTTAAAATATTAACAATATAGTTCAGGTAGTACCAGTATATACAACAGATAATGTAAAGTATAATTTATTTTTGCTTATTTTATTTGATTCATACCAAATTGTCATTTATTGGTGACTTACAATTTACTGCACAAAATGTGAGTGAACTTAGTACTAGATTATTTATCACAATAAAATGGTTACAGTTTCTTTTAAAATAAATTAGACATTAAAACAATATTGAACATTTCACTCATCACAAAAAAAACCACGAACATATATGCAAAGAATTACATCAGACATTGTGAGAAGAATGCATTTAATGACAACAAAATGATTTTTTATGTAATTTTCCTTTGTTATACATATCATAAAATTTTAAAATGTAAATATATACCGGTAATTCCTAATTTTAAACTTCTGTAATACGCAGTCACTACATTTTACCTAATGTATGTTTATCAGTAAATAAACTAATTTTGCTTAGATATGCTAGTGCTACAAATACAAAGAAAACAAGTAAGACCATCTCATTATGTACTCTTGTACAAGAGATGACATCACCCACAATGCTAAACTGACCTCTCTGGTATGACCGTTCACTTGACCTGTTGAATAAAATCCTGAATCTGTTCTGGTCAGCACGTTTCTTTCATCAAGCTGTAACCGATGTAAATCTAAATTTAAATCTGTTGATCGTCTAAAAATTGGTGATGAAGAACGTGATCTTGGTCTAGTTAACATAGGTGGGGGTGACCGTGACCTTGATCTGCTTCTATAAGGTGCCTAAAATAAAACAAATAAAATAGATACTCCATTTGCTTGCAGCTATTAATTGTTGACATGGTAACAAACACTAGTTCAGCATTATTGCTATCATCTATCAATTCGAAAGTGACATGCCCTCAAACAATTGACAGTAGTTTAATAAATATTTGAGGATGAATCAATGACATAAGAATGAATGACAGTCAAGCAGAAAATGACTTTATTTCCATATCCTCATTTCCTTGTAATTCTTTTGTCGAAACAAAAAGAAACCAGACCTTAAAATTTCAGTGAACTTCACAATGTTAATGCCTCACAGAAAATAATCTTAGTTAATATGCCAAATTATTTTTTAATTAGAAATTATACACAAATATATATGAATATATTCTCAATATAAAATCTTTACCAAAGAGTGAAATAATATTTTAAAATCCATTCTATAATTGAATGAACTATCATGTGGAGGAAACATGTTTTGAAACTTTCAATATTCCAATAGAATAGAATAGAATAGAATAGAACAGAATATAATAGAATAGAACAGAATAGAATAGAATAGAATAGAATAGAATAGAATAGAATAGAATAGAATAGAATAGAATAGAATAGAATAGAATAGAATAGAATAGAATAGAATAGAATCTTTAAAAAAAATTGACAATATATTTTTGGTTCTGTACAAAAGGAAATAAACTTTCATCTTAAAATATAAAATTTTTGAAAGTGTGATAAATACTTGAGGAAATATAAATATTTTGACATTATCTGTTCTCTAATTGTGCATCAATAGCAGTATATTAATAGTATGATTTTTACAGTACGTAACAAGAAACAGAACTATTTCTACACTGAGATTTTCTCATGATTCATAATCTAATTTCTTACTCTGAAACTATGAATTATCAAATTGAATTATTAAGGATGCCATATATTAAGACTGGCAAATATGTCCAATATAATCACCTGTTTATCAATACAGCAATTTACACATGGTAACATTACAAAATTAGTATCGTGAAATACAACCTGCCTGATTGGCTAGTCATCTAAACCAATCATCACAACTGTTATAAATATTACCTTATGATATGCAAACTGAAAGTTTCTTTCATCATCTTCAGCAGGATCCTGTATATGATCCACATCTGGGATTGCAAGATCTACCTGGAAAGTCTTTGTAACTAGTTGACTTTCTTGAAGACCATTCCTATAATTATAAAATATTTTATAATTTACTATACATTTACCTAAACATCCACTATCACTGTCTATGAAGTATCAGAGCAATCAGCCTATAAGTGTCAGAGAAGAGAATGTGAACAGTCCAATGGTGTCAGAGAAGAGAATGTGAACAGTCCAATGGTGTCAGAGAAGAGAATGTGAACAGTCCAATGGTGTCAGAGCAGAGGATTTGAACAGTCCAATGGTGTCAGAGAAGAGAATGTGAACAGTCCAATGGTGTCAGAGAA